GAAGAATTGTAACACCCGGGCGTGAAAATTTGGTCCAGAAAAAATGTTTGAATTAATAAAAATATATATAAATAATTTTATCTTATTTTATTTTAAAGTTTTAGAAATTATGAGAAAAATTGAATCAGAGATGAAATTGAAAATAATTCTTGGAAAAATGGGTAAAATTTTGAGTAAAATGGATGTTTTTGAAAAGCAATTTAAAAACAGGGGGTAAAATCTCAAAAAAAGGAAAGTTTGGCCACATGCGATGGCCCAGTCAGCAGCCACGACAAGTCAGAACACGCCGCGTGGCAGACACACTGACATTGGCTCCACAAAAGAGGCCACACAGACGATCCACGTGCCTTGGTGATCTAACGGGCTAGATTGTATCCCGCACGCACGAATGGCCCAGATGCATTTTCTCTTCAAACTCAATCGGATGGATGAGATTAATTGCGATGGACGGTCCAGATTCACCCACGTAATTAGCCTAAACAGGTGATGATCGGACGACCTCCTCGCTTCACGTCGACACAGATGAATGGCTGGGATCGTAGAGAAGAGAGGTATTTAAACCTCTCTTCAGTTGGTCTCGAAGCCCTAGCCGACACCCGATCGGAGAAGAAGAAGAAAGAGGGTGGCTAGAGGGAAGACCAGCTGCTAGTGGGATGTTGTTGTCACTACACCGGAGCTATCACTGAGGCCAAGAAAGGTAAAATTTTTCACGTTCTTCTTGGAATTCAATCTTAAATCTCTCTATGCCCATATTAGAGCCAATTGGTCAACATGTGAACCGAAAATTACGAACAAACCTCAACCGAGCTGCCGCACCCAAAATACAAAACCCTCTCCGATGATCCTCTTCTCATTTCTCGTTTCACATGATTGTTTGACCATTGTGTTCTCCGTCTTTTTCTAGTATAGGTTAGCCGAAGGGGAACTTTGCTCGCGAAGGAGGACCGATGAAGCCATCACACTCGAAGACCTTTTATCGATAGGGTTTCAATTTTTTGCCTTTTTCGGCCAACCAAGGCCTCCCAACTTAGTTCTTTATAGGTTTACGTACAAAACTGACCAAAATCGACTTAAATCAGCAAAAAATGATCAAACCGAGGTGAACCGCTGTGAACAGCAGAGCCGACGCTAGAGCATGGCGGTGCTGCCGTGCTGGAATCCTAAAATTAGCCAAAAATATTTTAAAACGTCTATTTTGGCCTTTTGGAGTATTTTTGGATACGTGACATGTATTTTAATTTTCACAGAAAAAATTCAGGAAATCTGGGAACCGTCAAGAGGCGTAGTAAAAAGTACGGTATTTCGGACATCGATCCAGAGTAAGAATCCCTCACCATTTTTTTTTGTTATGGTAAACTGAAGTTTAATAATCAATAATGTTGTGTTTTGTGAAAATTAGAAAATTCTAAAATTAATTACAAGTTAAGTGGAGCTGGAACCGGTCAATGCACATTTACCCTAGTTTACTGTTTATTTTCTCATATACTGCCTAAAATGCTTACTATTATATTGTGTGCATTAAATTACTAGTTTTAATTGATTTCTCGGCTATTTAGTTTAGCTAAATGTATAGCCCTCATTTGTTAGTTCGTTTTGCAATAAATATATTTTCTTGATTTACGTACTGTCTCTTTGCATGACTTACTACTTATTTATAAATATGGGATGTTGATATGTAATTGGTGATTAATTAATAGTGTGAATTTATGTATGAAAGGTTTACTGGATACCTAGAAAAAGTGTGGACGGACTCGGTACATATGAAAATCCTACCATGCACATTACCTCAGTCGGACGGAACTGAGAAGTCCTATATCGGAAGGGTTTGAGAGATATAGTTCACCCTGATACCGGATGGAGTATCGAGATGATGGTATGTTTGGCATCTATTACAGACGGGTTCTAAGGACGATCGGTTAATTGACAAATTTGGTTATTGGGTTGACGTGTAGGAGGACTTCCCTATAGAACTCCAGAGGTACCAGTAAGCAGGTAAAAAGGTGGGTTGCTATTCTTACTCACTAGATATAAAATTACAATATTATTTGAGTTATTAAGAATAGCTAGGATTTCTAGAAGAAGATGTCATTCGTTTGATGAGAAATAAAAAGGAATACGAAAATTCGAGTGGCTGAAGCTGAAGCAGCTACTTTCGAAGTAACAGAAAGAAAAGCAACTACTAGAGTGGGAGAGTCAGAGTCGAAAAGAGGATTCATCACTTATTTCTCTCATTCAAAACCGTGCATGAGACTTTTATCTCGCACGAATCGTAAGTGATAAAAGTAAAAAAGAATTCATCTTCTTTCTTTTTTGATTACCTTCCTCGCGTATGTATAAGATTGAATTGTCATCATAAGTTGATTTTGGAAACTCATAACGGTAAGTATGGAATTGAAGGTTTTATGTTAAATGAATTTACCTAAACTAATGGTTGTTGTTTTATAATTTTTATCAACCTTCAATTTTCGTATCAGTGATTAGTGTGATATTCTTACTAGTGTAGTGTAACTCATCCCCCTATTAACCGTTTCAGATCAAGAAGACCAATATTCAGATCCTGAACAACAGGAGGGTTGCGAGTAAGGTTACTTCCCGAACCCCATCAAAGTTACTAGTGGAGGTTAACTCCATAGGGTTTTAATTTCTTTATTTTCAACATTTTATTTTATTTTTATGAACTTCTGTAAATGAGACATTTTCGTAACTCTATTGCGCACTCTAATTTAGTGTGTAAGGAATGTAAACCCTAAATTATTATTTGTTTATGCTATTTCAATATATATTCTTTTCTTTAAGGTTTTTGAGCCTTTAAAATATGTATATAAATTCATTCATTATTTTTAATATGTCTAATTCAAAACCAAAAATAAACATTTAGTTTCATTCAGTTCTTTTACAAAAGATGAATACATTTTCATATCCAATATGACGAGAACAAAATAATAATAAAAGTTAGATTCATAACGTTTATGTTAACTTTTTTGTCCAAGTTCAAAATTTTGGATTCTGAATAGATTCAATTAAGAACAATTTACTTTACTTTCTAGATGATCCCTTTAGAAGGGGGAAAGTATAGGGTTTATATGAGTATAAACATAACTAATGTATTTTTTTTTTTTTTTTTTAAGAACAAATAGAGGAAGAAAACAAGCTTTTTTTTTTTTTTTGTTTTCTTAAAAAAGGTAAGATAAAATAAAAATGATTTATTTAAATATAAATAATAATCTTTTTGGTGTAATCATAAAGAATAATGATAAAAGTGAAAAGAGACAACAAAGAGAACAAAAACATTCAGCAGCGTCCTGGAGAGCTGCCATGGCGGTCCCAGGTACAACGTTCATTATGCTAAAAGCTAAACCACAGAACTAAACCATTTTAAAAAAAATAAAAGAATAATTAATAAATTCAAAAAGACAGAAACAACCCCAATACATTTTCTAAATTACAATTTTATCCTCTTCAAAGAAATTCTTTTATTCTGATAGAACAATTCCTTGTAAAATATGTATTAATATGTAATTGTAAAAATAATTTTTTAAATTAAAAATAAGACGATTATTTAAACTTTTCAAAACGAAAATTGCACGAGAAAAGTGGGGCCCAGATTCTCTAAAGTAATTCTACAAAGTTGTCTTTTCCTGACAGCGAAAAAGAATGAGGGAAGAATCTTCAAATTTGTACTTCGAGAAAAAGCAATTAAACAAATTATATAATTTGATTTGAACAGTTTTTTTGGTATATAAACAAATTATATAATTAATTTTCTGTTAATTGACATTTTTAATTTCACCAAAATATTTTCTTAATATTAATTGAAATTTTTAATTGTATAATAGATATGCTATAAAATATTTAAAAATTTATTTTAAATATATATCTTTGAATGTAAAGTAATATATAAATATTTCATTATTTATTTATTTATTTTTTGAGAATACCCACATCATTATTATTATTCCCTAGCTCTTCATAAGCCTAAAGAAAAAGAAATAAAATGACCCACCATGTATAATCATTAATGTGCTCATCCCAACTATGTTTATGTAATTAAATTCTGTATACAATATCATATATATGATTCTCCTCTCTGTTTGTTTGTTTTTTTTTTTTTTAAAAAAAAAAATTGTAGGCTTCTAAAAATTATGAGATTTGCAAGATATTGTTTTTAATTTTACATGAAATTTTAAAAAAATTGTGATTTTATTATTTTAATAGAATATTTAGTATCTTTTAATTTATTTAAGTTTGATTTTTCAAATAATTTTATAAAAATAATTTATTAGTAAAATTTGTTTGAAAACTTACATTTAGATCAAGTCTAGTTTAAATTTTAGTACTATAGAACAAAATAAGAATAAGAATTTAAGTAAAAATTTGAATAAAAATCATGTCACAGTTCCAAATCAATTATATGTCAAGCTTAAGTTATTTTTTTTCAATTATAAGGATTGACTATTATGCAATTATATATGCGGTAATAATTACATTATACATAAAACGAAACAATGCATTTTAAAATATACTCATTTTAATAAAATTTAGAATTTATTCTTTTTAGTTCTATTCAAAAATATATATTATCATTTGTAACAAAAATTTTGTAATCTTTTAAATTAAATTGAACGTAAATTTTTCAATAAATCATTAAAAAAAAAAAATTCATTTGTTATATAATTTATGGATTTTTAATTATTTTGGTTTATAAGTAACTAATAGTTTATGTTTTAGTATAAAATAAATTTTTATAAATAAGAGTTAGCTTTTCTTCATTCTCCTTTCCACACACTCGTGTAAAATAATATTCTTATTTTACCATTCATAATAATTTATTAATTACCACCCAATATAAAAACAATTTTCAATATTTTTGTCTTTTATTGGTTATTTTTTGGAGAAAAAAAGAAAAAAAGAAAAAAAAAACCCACAATGAGATATCTTATTTTATTATTAAAAATTTACACTAAAAAATAATTATTAGAAAAGAAAAAAAAAAGAATTACCTCCGTTGAGCCACAGGACAAGCGGCTTGAGAGATGCTTCAGATTGAGCTTCAAAAAACCAATAGAACAATGCCTTGTCTTCATTCGGCCGGAGCTTCACGTAACCGGCGAAATGTCGGAACTTTACCGGCGGTTGTCCTGGCAACTTCTTCACCATGTCCGCTTCTCTCTGACGCTCTTCTTCTTCTTCCACACTTTCTGCACTCCTGCCGGCGACGGCGAGCAGTAATATAAACACCGTGCAGCATACCAGTAACCTATACTTGCTTATATTTTCCATTGGAACCACAAAACCTAAGTAATGCTCTCCCTTTTCCTTTTACTTTTTATTTTTTTGGAGATAGAGTCTGAGATCAAGGAGGAAAAACGTTCTATACATATATATATATATATATATAGTGTAATATATGGAGGAAAGGAGCGGGGACATGATGAGGAAAATTGTGTGGGATCACGCTGTTCAAAATTTTCTCACTTTTGTTTTTTTCTTTTAACTTTTTTAACAAAAAAAAAAAATTAGTGTCAAAGTTAAGATGGAATCAAATATTTGGAAGTCCCAGAAGAGGGAAATGCACATATGCGATTTTAATAATCTTATAATTTGAATGTTTGTTTCTTTTTTTTTTCCCCTTAATTTTGTATACATATACTTAAAATTTATATTAGACAAGTGACTGTAATGTAAATTTCATATGAGGAAATAATAATTACAAGGGTGATATTTTTTTAAAAGAAAGAACACAAGCCAAATACATTAAAAAAGAAGATCAAGAATACAACTAGGAAATAGGCTATGAAAAGATTGGGATGCAATCTCTTTAGGCTATAGCATGCGCAAGCCCATTAGAGGATCTTGACAATATTATAATATCCAAACTCACACACGAAAGTCTTGGTTCCTAAAATTTGTTTCTTGATGGCCCAATCAAGGGTGAGAAAAGTTGAAGAAAGTGGTGTTACAATGTTAATTAAATCATTCAATATTGACACTCAGTTAGAATCTTAACCTATGAGTAATTCTCAAGTTAAGAAGAATCACCTGGCTTTTAGCCATAAGGGAGTCATCTGACAAAAGTTTCTCAGTATGTGTTTGTTTGAACCTATACAAAGACCAGGTACGTGCTATTGTAGCCACTTCATTATTGAATGTTTTATTACAATAGAAACATATTGGATGTAGAGTTCAAACATAAGTTTTGTTGCTACAAATTAGAAGAAAGTGTTAAACAGCGTTGCTTTAGCCAACTTATAGAATCTTGGAGATACTTAGCGTATTTTTATATGTGAAAAGCTTTCTAGGTGAACTTTCCTTGCATTACTGGATTTCTTCATTTCGACAAGTAGCCGAACATGATAGATGCATAAAGCAACATGTTCTAGCCAATATCCTTGTTATTTTATTTTACAATTTTAAGTTTATTTAAAAATATTTTGTTACGGAGTTAAACCCTAGTTGAGTAGGTTTGAAACCCCAACTAAAGATAAGCTAAAGAGCTTTAAAAAGATAGTAATAAATAAAAACATGTATGCAGGATTCTTAATCCTATAGACATTGTAACAACCCACATTTTTGCTACAACTCTGCATCTTAAAAGTATTCTTTCATTCATCTTGTAACACTTGGGTCCAAAAATTTGGCCCGAGATAATTTTTCAATTAATAAAATTATATATTTAAATAATTTAATCTTTATTTTAATTTAATTTTTTTAGAATTTTTGAGAAAAATAGAATTATGAATGAAATTAAAAATAATTTAAAAAAATTGATGAAACTGTGAATAAGGAAGGAGCATTTTTGAAAGAAAATTTAAAAACAAGGGGGTAAAATCATAAAAAATAAAAAATATGGCCACATGGGACGGTGGCGTCAACAGCCATGATGAGTCAAAACACACCGCGTGGTGGACATGCTGACATCGGCTCCACGCAGATAATTCGCATGGCTAGGCAATCCAACGGTCCAAATTGCATTCCGCACGCATGAACGACTCGAATCTATTTATTCTTCAGACACAATTGGACGAATGGGATTGATCGCGATGGATGGTCTTGATTTGCACACGTGATCGGCCTAAATAAGCAACAATTGGATGAGTTTTCTTGCTCCACGTCAACTCGAATGGATGGTCTAGATCAAATAGAGAGGAGTATTTAAACTCTTCTTCACAGGGAACCAAAACCCTAGCCAACAGAGGAGTGACCAAGAGAAGAAGAAGAAGAGCAGTCGTAGAAAGAACCAGACGTTGGAGAAGGAGACCAGCCACTATTGTCGCTACACCATGGCCATCGCCGATGCCAAAACATGTATTTTTTTTCATTCCCACTCAAAATTCAATCCCAAATCTCCCTAAACCCATATCAGAGCCGAAAGTCGAATGGGTGAGCTAAAAAATATGAGCAAAGCACGATCGAGTCGCCATGACCAAAATCTAAAACCCTTTCCTATAACCCCCTTCCTGCTCCCTGTTTTATACGATTTTTTGACCTAGCCGTTTTCATCCTTTTTTAGTGCAGGTTAGCCGAAGGAGAACCTCAATCGCGAAGGAAGAACGGCAGAGCAGCCGCACTTAGAGACCCTTCCGCTAGTAGGGTTTCAGTTTTTGCCTTTTCTCGCCAACAAAGGCCCCGTAACTTGGTTTTTTGCAGGTTTTCAAGCAAAATCGACCAAAACCGGCCAAAACCGATCAAAAATAGCAAGGTTGAGAGGAACCGCCGCCGTGGCTGGTGGAGCCGGCACCGGAACACAGTGGTGCCGTTGTCTTGAAATCCTAAATTTATTGAAAAAGTTTTAAAATGCCTATTTTGGCCTTTTGGAATATTTTTGGATACATGTCGGGTATTTTTATTTTTCACAGGAAAAATTTAAAAAATTCAGGGATCCCCAGGAGGTACAGTAAAAAGTGCAGTATTTCGTACACCGATTCAGAGTCAGAATCTCTCATCTTTTTCCTATCATGGTAAATTGAAGTTTAATAATTAATAACATTATGTTTTGTAAAAATTAGAAAACTCTAAAATTAATTACAAGTCACTAGTAGAGTCAGAAGTGGTCAGTGTATATTTGTCATAACCTGTTGTTTATTTTCTCCTATACTACCTAAAATGCTTTTATCATATCGTGTATTTTAAATTACTAATTTTAATTGCTTTATCGCTTATTTAGTTTATAGAACTGTGTTGTCCTCATACGTTGAATTATTTGTAATAAATGTCCTAATCATGTCCCCTTGATTTACGTGTTGTCTAAATTGCATGACTTAATGTTGATTAGTTTATATGTTGTCTATTTGCATGACTTACTGTTGATCGGTAAAAATGTGATGTTGGTATGTGGCTAGTGTTTGGTTGATGATGTGAATTTATGTACGAAAGACTTATCGGGTACCCTAGGGAAGGGTGTACGACCCGGTACATAAGAAAACCCTTCTGTTACTTCAATCGAACGGGACTGAGAAGTTCCATACCGGAAGGGATTGAGATGTATAATTCACCCTCATTACCGGACGGGTTATTGAGGTAGTGATATGTTTGGCACCCATTGTAACGACCCCGGAAACATTAAAATGAAATGAGTATTTAAATATATCAAATGCGGAAGCGAGATCAAAATTTCAGTTAACATCCCTTACACGAAAAACCAGAAACGTACTTAAAATATAAAAGATTAAACTAACTAAGAGAGAAACTCGAAAATAAAACTATGAGTATGACTACAGAGTCTCTAGGCATCCCCTTCGTCGTCCCCCTGCGGAACGGGCTCGGGAACCATGTCTTCCTGATCTGAAATGGTTAAATAAGGAGTGAGCTACACTAGCCCAGTAAGAACATCACGATATCTCACCGTCACGGAGGTAAAGGTGGGTAGAAAAACACAAAAAGACCAATGGAGCATAATTTACAATAAACTCGTTTATTAACATGAAAACCTTTACCATCCACTTACCTCGGTGGAATTTATGAAAACAATATAAGAAAAATAATAACATTATCACAATCATGGAATAATATAAGCTGTAAAACATAGCACTTATCACGCCTTTTGTAATTCAATCATTATACAACATATCCTTTTCTCATTTACCAGCCTACTAGTATCCATGGGGGTCTCTAGGGGTCCCGCTACCCGTTAACCTTTAACATTCATAATCAGTTTCCAGGGCCGTCCCCATACCCCGTCCGGTATGAGCGCCAAAACCATAAACCTCAATACCCCGTCCGGTATGAGGGTGAAAACGGGCCGTCCCCATACCCCGTCCGGTATGGGCGCCAAAACCATAAGATCTCCATACCCCGTCCGGTATGTGAGACCACAATCCCGGTAGGGTTCCCTACGGACCCGGTCCGTCCACCATCTCCCAGGATATCTAGTCAGGCTGACCCCATCATACAATTATCAGTCTATACAATGTTTCATTTCCCTTTTCCTCAATAAGCATCATCAATTCACATTTAAACAAGCAAATCGTAATTCATGCCGAACAGACAACATACAGTATCACTTCTTCAGTCATTCAACCCATAATTAATAAAACAGTAATATATGCATTCGAAACTATAAAATGAACACATCAAACCCCATAATGCATTTAAAGCTATAAAACAGGCCAAATAACAGTAAATCATCAATCACACTAGACTCGGGCTCCATTAGCAACCTTAAGCAATTTCACACATGCGTTAATTCAAGAAATACCGTTTTATCATTTTGAACTTTAATACCGTGATAGGAAATAGGGTGAGGGGTCCTTACTTGTTTTCGGGATCCGAATACGATTCACAGTGCGCCTGCAGGCCGTCCCTAATTTTCCCTGAATTTTTCCCGGGGAACTGAAACACACTAACAGTACCTGCACGTATTCCAAAAAAATCCAAATTAGGCCCAGGGCCCCTTTCGGACCAAATCGCAACTCCGGCACGGCGGCTCCGCCGTGCTCCGGTGACGGCGCCGCCGCTGGCGGCGGCGAGTCGCCTCGGGTTGGCTGTTTTCGGCCGTTTTCAGCCGAATTCGGCCACACTCGCATTGGTCCTTGTCAGAAAACAACCCTAGGGCCCCCGGGGGGCCAAAAATCACGGAAAAGCGGAGCTTACCGGCGGCGGCGCTCTCGGGTACGGCGGCTCTCCGGCGAGGTTCGTGTTTTGGTGATTCGGCTTCGGTCAACCTGTAGAGAAAAGAATGGTGATCACGGTGATATAAAAATTGCATCGAACGGAGGCCGAGAAGGACCTCGTCGGAGGCAAAAACCGAGAGGGGCGCGGCGGCGCCGCTGGGTTTCGGCCGCGTATTCCGGCCGTTTGGCCGGGATTTCGGCCTCAATTTGGCCATAGGAGGAATCAGCGGAGAAAACGAGT